GAAAAAATGTTAATACCTTTCCTTATAATACTTCTTGTGCCATCTATATCGGAAACAAGTATGAAACTGTCATCGGCAAATTACTAACAAATTTTTCTAAATGTAATTTATTATTCGAATAATTTTATATATATATTTATTTAATTATTATATCTGTTTATATAACGACCAAGTATTGTTAAAAAAATAATAATGATCTGCATAAACTTAAAAAATTTGTTACCCTGTAAAAAACGGTGCGTTAAATATACTTCTGTAGTTATACACGTATAACTACAGAAACGTATTTTTATATAGAAATGAATAATATCAAAAATACATTTTTATAAACCAATAAAATTGTAAATTATAAAATTAATTATATAAACTAAATTCCAAATATTTATATCGAATAAGCAAAAATATAGTCGGTAATATCAGCGTTCTTCTCGTAATTTTACCCCGAGCTGAAGGTCTCTAACCTTTAGAGAACGTGTAATATTGATCCGTGTAGTTATTGCTATTCAAATAACGTCTAAAAATACAAATTCTTTTTTTATACTTTTCATTTAATAAAGTAATTATCTTTTATAGAAGTATCTTCTTTTCACTATCTCATACTTATCTTTATATATTTATTACATTTACATTTTTTGAACGAAATCAAAATTATTAACTACGTTTCAGTAAATAATTGCAACGTCTATTACAGTTATTTATACACATACAATCCTAAATAATGAAGAAAATTATATTAAATCCTGAAAATCAATACTATCTCGTCGGTGGTTTATAATACGAACTGGCTCATAGGATAAAACAGCAACACATTGTCGATTTATCAGCGATCCATATAATTGCAACGGTACATTTAATATAGGTTTTTTTTATTATACTACATTGATAATATGGTTTCTTATGATAAAACATGATCTTTCATCAATTGTTTACTGTTCATATTACTTTTTTATTCAAAGTAATTTAAGTAGTAGAGTATAATATTATAAATAGAAAAAATATGTTTAAATTTCAAGCTATTTATCGAATGTTATAGAAGCGAAATTCGTTTGTATTAAATATTATAAGCATTATTCTATAATTTCCTTATCGGTTTTCACAAAACAAAAAATATATATCTTTCACCCTCGAATGCACATCCATGAGAGATGTCGCCAGATGTCGCTTCAGTCGAGATTGTTGTCAAAAATTTGATGTTCCTGTAACAAGGATAACTAAAATAGTGTACTACGCATAGAAAAAAAAACAAGGATACTGTACAGTTTAACTCTTATTTCTGACGCGTCTACTTCATCTATCAGAAAAAAGTGCGCGCCACTCCCTGGAAGGATCAAAAAAATTTATTATGTTTAATTAAACAGATAACGATCGAATTAATTAAAGATCTTCCAACGGCGACATTAGTTGCCTCAATACTTCCATCTCTGCGCGCGATTTCTCTCGGGTCAACGCGCACCAACCACCACTACCACGTACCCTCGAGAGCGACAAATTGCGAAGTTATCCCCTCTCTTTCTTGGACGCGACACTTATAGAGAATTAATAGCGGCTTTTATTGCGAGTTCTCGAAGTAACTGGCGGAATTGCCAAAAAAGTTTAAGTCGATCTATGTCGACGGCGGCGACGCAGGCCAACGCAGGCGCAAACGTGCCGTTTCCATGGCGCCGTTGCTATACAGTTAGGTAATGTTGGATTAGACACTACGCCGTTTCCCAACCCTCTCCGGGGTAACGTTCAGTACACCCTAAACCATCGTCGTGGTTAGAGGATCTCTTGCACCTTCCTACTTGCACACGTGCATATAGACACACGCAGGGGCACGGGGACTGCACGCATATTATACCTACACATACGTATAGATACACACGTACATACGGTGTACGTACATACGCATGCACCACCGTCCACCCACGCATTTGAGGGAAAACGCGTGGCTATTTAACCCCTATTTACGATACGGTCCGTCCGGCCAGTGTATCCGCTAGCTCGTTTGTTTATTCAGTCATCTATCCTGCCCTGCTCTTCCGATCTCTGCCAGTGATTTTCATTCATTCACACACACATTTGCGTGTCACTCCTCCCCTTCTCCTCCGATGGTGTTCATTTATCGTCGTGTCCGCTCCATCCCTCGTACGCTACAGTGAAGTTCGAAATATATATCCCCGATAATCTCATGTTGATTTATGTATGTGCCACAGCTTTTTTAATCACATTCCCGTGTCACGTACGAAGTCACGATCTCGCTTCAATCCAATCGGACTGAGTATTTTTGCCCTTCGGTGTACGCTTCGACACCACCACCACCACCACCACCACCGGCGTGGACCAGAGAATCCAGGCTGCGTGCACGTAATCCAGCACAGTGTCGTGGGACGAAAGTGGCGGGTGGTGTGTTTACTGTGGTGGCGGCGAGGGTATTATCCTGACGAAACTAAAACTGGTCAGGTCAGTAACACGGGGTGAGTCGACGAGATATCTTGGACTCTTCGTATCGCTTCCGATTGTTTTTCATTTTTGGATGCTGTAATTAAAATACATTTAGTGTTTTCAATGACGCGAGCAAATTTATATCTGTATGTCTCAAATAATCTTTACAGTTTAAATTGTTTTTTAAAAAATATGCATACAAATTCTATACGAGGATTTCTTGGAACGTCTTTTGTAATTATAGCATCGAGGAAATTTTAGTTTCCTATATACGTAGTTGGCATGAAATCAATATTGTTTAAATCATTTTGTCGTTTCTTGCATTCTTTTTAAATTTCATTATAATATTTCTCTTTCTTATTTCTCAGAAAAATCTTGTAATATTTTATAAGTTATCTATATGTAAAACTGAAAATATCCGAAATCATACATAGCTAAAGCTTACTTTGTAATTTACAAAATTATTTTTAGGCCTCATGAAAAAGAAATTAAAACCGTAAAAAAGGAGAGAGAAAGGGAAAGAGAAAATATAATCTTTTTATACGTACAATATTGCAATATCCACCGCAGATATTAATCATACTCTATTTATAAGCCATTGTTACTACACGTAACAAAAACGTATATAAAATTAATTAAATCATATGGATATCATTTTCAACAATTGAGATAACAATTATCGCCATTAAAACAATACATACGTATACATCATTGACTACATTTACACGGCATCCTTAATCCATAGTTTAACAACATCCGTAGTTATGAAACTGGCCAATCATAATTATTCTATTTTTCACAGGAATACCTATGATTGGTTAGTTTCATAATTACATATTAATAACTACAGTTATTAAGAGTGCCGTATAAACATGATTACTATAATCTCTAATATGTGTTTTATTAATAATAAAAATCTCATTACTTTGTAATGCCTCTGAAAACACATGTATAAAATGAAACGTGCGAATCGAGTATAATTACGAGTATATTATGTAATAGTTAAATCAGTGACAAATCATAGAAAATCCCTTTGGGTCCCAACACATGTGCAACCGTTGTCGCGTGAAAACACGCGACTGCAGCGACTTTTTTTCTCGCTCTAGATTTTGGACGTTGAACGCGGGAACGCGCGTCCCCGACTACATTTACAGAAACATTAGAGAAATGATCGATACACGACAGGTCGCTATGACAAAAATAGACGAATGCTCGTAATGCGTCCGCATAGAGGTAAATATGTTTCACCGCTATACCGTGTATGCCGTGTATGCCGGCTATGTATAAGGTGGTAGATTGGCATATGCGCGTATAGGGGAGGGGGTGCGTGACGCGCGACACGATGGGGTCGCGCAGGCGCTACCTGTAGACTCCGCGGAATACGTGATGATAAATACTAAATTTAACCCCCGGGTGAAACGACGCGACGTCAGGCTATCCGGATCGATAACACTTTTCTGGCGTCTCCCTTTCTTTTTTTATCGGTGAAACGTGACTTCGCTTATGTAGGGCGTTTATGTATATAAATCGTTGACCGCAGAGGTCGGTGGAGACGCGTACCCCATCCGTGTGATACATCCGATACCTATCGTGTGACAAAGCTTTTATTAAAATTCCGTAACGCTCAAAATTCCGCTCTATCGGGCCAAGGCAAAAATTTGCGCGAGACACGGCGGAGAATGTTAACTATCTACTTGTTATAAAAATAGAGCCTTTAAATTCTGATAGGATTTTTAATATAATTAAAATCTTTCTTTGTTTTTTTAATTAGCAACGTAAAAAATGTTATGTATTCCATTAGTTAAAGATACTGTTATGATTTTATAATAACTATATTGTATACGATATATGGTCGCACAAGCCAATATATTAAAATTAAACGCAAAATATTCCTGAATCGACGTTATACATAAAGTTGTAATTTATACTGTACGCGTTAATTAACTAACTTTCAATTAGTTACGCTTTATGAATACTTTACTACAAGATGAATACTAAAACTATCACAATTTATTATTTAATCA